GAGACCAGGAAAAGCACCTGGCTCCTGGCCTCGGATCAGCGCGGTGCGCTGGCCGCGGCGGCCATTGGAGGGTGAACCAACGGCAAAGGAAGACCTTTCTCACTGTCTCTCTCTCTCACTGTCCACTCCGCCTGTCAAAAAAAAAAAATAATAATAAAAAAAAAAATCTGTATTGTGGAGAGAAGGCAAGACTTGGGCTGTCCCCATGGAGACCTTCAATGTGTCTTATAGAATGTTGCCCATTTCACTGAGGGACACAGTCAGCCGATGTACCATTGGCTCTGCCAGCCATATCCCCTCAGGTGACGACTCCCTGTGCCCTGATGGTGGTGGGCAGGAAAGGAAACAGAAGGAGGTGCAGAGAGAGCAGAGCTCTGGCTAAAAGTAAAAGACCCGCAAATATTGGTGCCCAGATAAAGGTGGTGTCCAACTGATGAAGAAGTAAAATTCCAAAATAACTCCAGTGTTTGGAGCTGGGATGCCTTCCCACATTACATGATGCTATAAATGCTTGTTGGGAGCTTCACAGTTGCTGAATTAACCCGCAAGGGAGCTGAAATCCTTTCCATATCCATCTAGGATGACAAAATTCAGAGAACAAAGCTTTCACCCCCTCCGAGCTCAGAGTTTGTTTCAAACCATCCTACAGCCCAGCTGTTCCCGGGAAGGGACCTCGATTTAATTTCAAGTGGCCTAGCATTGAAATCTATTCTAAGAAATGTGTGCATTATTAAAATAAGAAGTGATATGCTATCAAAGGTAGAATGGGAAGTGTGCTGGGCTGAATAATTACCCCCCTCCCCCCAAATTCATGTCCACTTAGAACCTGCGAATGCGATCTTCTTTGGAAATTAGGTCTTGGCGAATGTCCTACGACTGAGACTGTTAAGGTGAAGCCACACTGAATTAGGGTCATCCACAATCCCATGGCTGTATCCTTATAAAGAAAGGGAAAGTCAGACACACGGGGACACAGAGAGGGCCACACCATGTGCAGGGGAAGCGGAGGCCAGCAGCATGGGTCCACACCCCGGCTGCCTGCAGCCACCAGAAGCGAGTGGAGAAGCACAGCGGTAACTTAATAACATCGTGGGTTCTGACTCAGCCTCCGAAACTGCCAGAGGATAGGTTTCTAACGTTATCAGCCCCCAGTCTGTGCTGATTCATTAGCCGGCCTTGGGAAATTAGAGAGGGAGGGAGCATCAGTGGTTTGCAAATGTCTCAGGAAGGAGGCACCAGAAAGGACAATTTATCTTCTCTCTCTGATATGTCTCTGTTGCCTTCCCTGCTTAGTCACTGGACAACACATCCAAAGATTCCTTCATCGACACAGGATCCTGCCGCAACTGAACACTTGTTGTGTTCTACTCTGTGTGTGGCAACAGCAGAAAAACATCATCAGAGGCAAGTGGAGGAAGACGATGGACTGAGCAGCCAGGCAGAACTCGCTGCCTTCCAGAATAAGGTGCTGGGGCCAGGAAGGTGGAAGGGTTTGCAAAGAGCTGCTGCTGAGCTTCAGCCCGCGTGCCAGATGGGGCTGGACAGACAGGGACTCCGCGCACATGCTAGAGGCCAACCCGTTCTCCCGCACCCGCACATGCTAGAGGCCAACCCGTTCTCCCGCACCCGCAGCGCTTCCTCTCCAACCACAGCCCCGAATGTCTCAGAGTGCAAGTAATGCTAAACACCTGCCTCTTCTGGACGAGCCTTCAGTGTGAGTGTGCGTGTGTGTGTGCGTGTGTGTGTGTGTGGACGCTCACATATGCATGGACTTTGCTTTCACTTGAATGCACATCCTTTATCTTTATTCCTCTTTTATTTATGTCTTCAAAAAGCAAGTGGGAAATGTTTTCCTCACTAGTTTGGTACCCAGTAATGGGAGAAAAACAGAAACATAAAAATCTAACGTGTTACAGTTTTGTCTGGGGCTAGCCCTGGTAAAATTTTGAATATTTCGCAACACAGGGAACTAGTTTTCATTGCTGTTCTACAAATATTTGTTGGCCATCTGGATATACACATTTTAAAAAGTTAATTTAATTTTTACTTTGACAGATACATATATCAGATGTATTTATCATATATAACATGTTTTGAAATATGTATACATTATACTATGGCTAATTCAAGCTAACAAACAGGCATTATGTGAAATAATATTTATGTGGCCAATATTTATTTTCACATAATTATATTGTTGCGGTTGGGGGCACTTAAACTCTGCTTTAGCAATTTTCAAGCACACAATATGTTTTTATTAACTACAGCGGCCTTGATGGACAATAGGTTTACTGAACTCATTCCTTCTAACTGGAATTCATATCCTTTAACCAACATCTCCCCAAGGGCAACCATCATTCTTCTCCCTAATTCTATGACCTCAGATCCACACATAAGTGACACCACATGGTGTTTGTCTTTCTATTCCTGGCTCATTTAACATATTATCCTAGAGCTTCCTCCATGCTCTCACAAATGAAGGGGGTTCCTTCTCTTCCAAGGCCAACAGCACTCCGTTTTGTATATGCACCACCTTTGCTTCATCCATTCATCTGAGGTTGATTCCACATCTCGGCAATTATGAACAGCTGCACTGAACACGGGAGTACAGCTTCTCTTCAGAACCCTCATTTCATTGCTTTTGGATCTGTCCCTGAGTGGTGGGACTGCCAGATCACAAGTGGTTCTGTTTTTACTTGCGTAAGGAACCTCCATACAGTTTTCCACAACTGTACAAATTTACATTCCTGCCAATAGTGTGCAAGGATTCCCCTTTCCCCTCATCCTTGCCAACTTGCTATCATTTATCTTTTTGATAAGCAAGCACTCACCATGTCAGAGACAGTGCTGTAAGCTAGGCTTTAGTTTTTAAATTTGCCCAAGTGGTTAAACACTTGGAACTGGCTACCAGGGAAGCCAGCATGTGCAAAGGCCCTGAGAGAGGAGCACAGGTGGTGCACCTGATATGGCCCTGGCCATGGTGAGGGCCACAGTTTGGTCAACAGCATAGTAGCAGAAGATGCGCTAACAGCAAACAGAAAGCCAGATTATGCTGGGCTTTGTAAGACAACAAAAGAACTTACACTTCTCCCTGGGGTGCTTGAGGTATCTCCATAGGTTTTGACCAGAACCCAAGAATGGCTGCAAGACCTTTGGTGGATCATTGATGGGAGCTTAGGTTTCTCTGTTTGTAAAAGGGCCGGTTATGCCAGCTACATATCTATAGACTCTCACCCAGCTGTAGAAATCAACTGCAAGACATACAGAGCAGGCTAGGTCTCCATTTGTAGACTGCTACCTAAAATATGAGCTTCCTCCCCCCTCAGCCCCCTCCATGGCCCATGACCCAGCACAGGAATGGCAGGACACTGTCTCATGTTGGTGGGATGGCAGTGGTTATTTTTATGTACGTAATGTTTGCAAATCTGTATTCTGAGAGATGGGCAGGGACTACAGAGCCTGCTGACCCCTAGCCTGGATGCCCAGGAGTACACGGGGCATCCTAGATGAGACGGGCACTTTCATCTCTGCACCCAAAGCCCTGCTTGGGATATGTGGGCCCACTCTTGGCAAGGAACCAAAAACCAACAAAAGAAGATCAATATTTTTTCGCTCTACATTAAATAAAAATCTAAAAATAAGCATTTTCCTTTTTAATCATTTCCTATCACGCATGGCGTGTTCACTTTAATTTTCAACTCCGTTTACTTCATTTCTGTGAACCATTTGGGCTTTGCAGAGTGTCCACCCAGCACACGCTCTGCCTCCGTGTGCAAGTGCGTGTATTTTTCCATTCCTCTGTCTCCTTCTTTGTTCATCCAATTACAAAATCCTGTAACTATTTTAGTTGAAATGTGAGGCAAAGCCTTTTTTTAGGATCTCGACTTCTCAGTGAATAAATAATGGCTCCAAGGACACTTTCCTAGCTTTTCATAGAAGAACTGCAACTGGACTTTCTTCTGCTAAACTCAAGGCTGTTTTATAAACTAACCAATCTACGAAGCATTGTTTGCATTGCTTAGTTTCCCCCTAAAATAAGCACATTCCCAGTGTTTCACAACATCTTTCAATAGAAAGCCTTCATTGTGACCACAGTTTGTGAGTGTTTTTAAAGATGCATTCATTTTTCTGAAGGGCAGCATGACAGAGAGAGAGAAGGAGGGAGAGGGGTAGCTTCCACTCACTCCCCCACGTGGCTGCAATAGCCAGGGTTGGATCAGGCCAAAGTACTCCAGTTGGGTCTCCCTCGTAGGAGGCAGGGGCTGAACTACTTCCGGCATCACCCGCTGCTTCCCAGGCACACCAGCAGGAAGCTGGACCAGGAGTGGAGCAGCTGGGATTCAAGCCAGCACTCTGGGATGGGATGCTGACATCCAAGCGACAGCTTACCCGACTCTGCGCCAATACCCATCCCCATCACGTCACTGTTGACAACTATATTCAATAGCATGGTAGGAGTTCTAGAAAACATGGCAGGAGCCATCAACACATGGCACGGGGTGCTTCGAGGCCTCTCCCTGAAGGAAGGGTGACAGGCCAGAGACCCACGCCTTCCTCACATTTGACATCCCTCACACCAGCACAGGGCCTAGACCGTGACAAAACGCTCGTGCATGCTGGTCGCTTGGACACAGAAGGAGATACTATGGGTTTCCCTCCTTCTCCGTGCACATTTTCTTGCTACTTTGCCAGCTCAGGTTCAGAGATGAAGCAGAAGCCAAGGTGCATAGATCAGAGAGCTCCAAAGGGATACAGAGAGGATGGCGGCCATGTCATCTGAGGTCACCAGGGGCCAGAACACAGCCCACTTCCTCCCCAGTCTGCCAAGCAAGAGCTTTGTGTCCGCGTAAGCAGACGGGAGACGAGATCTTCTAGCTTATTCCCTTCCTGATAACTTCATCATCTTTAGCAACTGGATGCAGGCGACACAGTAACCAGCCACAGCCTCGTTCGCTTCACCCGCGGCCACACAGGACAGTCTGGTCCCTGGGGAGCCTTACCTCAGCTGCAGGGACGCCCTCTGGTGGGCGGCAGTGCAACACGATCATGCCTTCAATGGGAACCTCCCTTCCTTGAGGATCTTGCTCAAAGTTTTTCCGTAAATCTGCAAAAAAAGAAGAAAAAGGGAGGGGATATGTATTATTCTTTGCTCTAGGGCCAGAATTTGTCACAGTTGGTTCAATGTAATAGAATAGCTTAATGCCACCATGTGGATATAAACAAAAGGTCTCTGTTTGCCCCCATAGTTCCAGAATGAGAGGATCCGTTTCCCAAATATTCATAAACACATTTGAAATAAGCCTTAGCAAAAACTGTGCCTAATGTTGTATTCTGATGGGAAAGAGAAAAGAATTATCAGAGGATCAGGAAGAAAAAATAATTATTAAAACCCCCCATCATTTCCTGTGTCTTTGCCAGCATTATCTGCCTAGCATCTGAGGAAACACTTGGCCTAATAAATTGCCATCCACAGCTATTATGCAGCTGAGATGCCCATGATTTTCTTTTATTAACTAAAGAATGCATTATTAATCTATAACCTCTGTCATTCCCTTAGCCCTCTAGGGGACTCTAGAAGATGATAATAGAGTGAGATTACCTATTAGTCGTTTTATTTGTAACCAGGGAGAAGGGGCAACACTCAGCCACAACAAAATCTATAACCTATCCAACCAAACATATAATTAAAAAATACAACACCCCCTGGTCAAACAGCGAGGCTGGGTGTTTGGATATGCACTTGACAGAAGGCTTGAGGCACCTTGCAAACAAGCTGCACTACCATTCATGCAAGGGTGACACTTGGAGAGGTTAACTGCCTCACCAGCGGCCACACAGAGCATCCACACCAGTGAGGGCGAAGTCATCCAGTCTGAATGAGAACAGCCAAGCCTTCTCAGGGAAGGGGGTGCACAGGGACAGCTGGGCGAGGGGAAAGGCACTCCCTCTGCACTGCTTTCCACTGCCGCAGAGGTTTCATTCCAAAGAGCAGAGCACTGGGCGGGCATTCCTGCTTTGCAGGTGTCATGAAAACACTTAGAGAGTCTTGAGGCACGAGGGTAACTCTTGCTGTCACTCGAACGCACGGGACTGCAGAACCAAGCCGGCTTGTTCACAGGCTCCCTCAGTTTAAAAGACTCTCCCCCCCTCCCCTCCCAGACAACATATTTTTCTTCACATTGAGTATCTCAAATTATGGCCTGTGGATTTATTGATTTAATTTTCTTCAGTGCTTACAATAACATGAAATATGTTCCCTGTAACGAGCAGAGCTCTGGAATCCGTTCTATCTTTATAAATTGTATAAACGCATTCAACTCGCTTTTCGCAAGTCCCAGACACGCAGTGAATGACGACCAGAGCCATCCGTGTATTTGCTTTCTTCTGAATTCTGCTCCTAATGGTTTCCCTCCCGCAGGCGACAGAGCTGTGCCCTGGGAGATCTTAACAGGACTTGCATTCAGGCAGGTGGCAGGAAGGTCACAAAACCAGCTACGACATTGTGAGGGAAGGTACCATGAGCAAACCCCAGAATTTAAAAAAAAAAAAAATCACGTTTCCCCGCACACTTCGACTACACATTGTACTCAGTTGCACAACAAGGAATCGCTGAGTCAAAAAATCCCTCCTCCATAGGATTGGTTTCTCAAGAGAACTAAATCACAAGTGCTCGGTCATGGAGCGAGCGACTGTACCATGTGAGATACCGATTTGATGACGGAAAGAAGAGCTATGCTGGTGGTGCCCTGCTCGCTCGCTCTCTCTCTCTCTCTCTCTCCTATTTTTCCCTTTTCTGTGAGACTGATTTGTTTCCCAAAGGAAGCTTTAGTGTTGCTAAATGAGTGTAGTTTTGACAACACCGAATAATCTGTATTGACTCAGATGAAGGACAAGGAGCCAAAAACTGGGGAATTCTATTGATCTTTTACTTCTCTGTCCTGTCCTCACTCAGGAGAAACAGGACAGGTAACAACCACTCAGCTCATGGCTATCTCTGTACTTTACCACAGTCAGCACTTCAGCAGGTGGGAAGACAACTACAGTGATGCCCTCCCTCCCTCCATCCCAACTCTCGGTCAAGAGATCACTAAACAGACTTCATAAATACGTGTTATCTTATAAATACTATATTGTGATTTTAAATATATATTTTAATTTACAAATAATTTACTTTCTACTTATATATTTTAATTTTCATAAGAATTTTTTCTTTCTAATAGGAATATATTATATATAAGTATATAAATGTATATTTATACATTTATATAAATATATATGTTCACATATATTTATATGTATAATATATAAATATACATAAATATTTATATAAATGCATATATAAATGTATATATAAATGTATATTTTATTTATATAAATGCATTTATATAAATAATATATACTTATATTTACTATAATTATATGTGTCCACACACACTAGTGTCTACACTATGCCTTAAGACTGGAGACTATCTACAAACAAGAAACCTGCAGGAATTTCTAACACATCTCACAGAGGCAGGGTCACATTGGGCCCCTACCGAATGACACATGATGTTCCTATTCACAGCAAGCCCAAGACCACTCCCCAAGGCAGAGATAAGCAGACAAAAGGAAAGAGGGCCTTGAGAGGCCTGGTCAGGGAACTACTGGTGTCTCACACACGGCGACCCAACAGTGCTAACAGGGCACCAACCAGGCACCATATATCACCCCATGAGAGAAACCCAAGTATCCCCGAGTCCTGGCCTGCACCTGACCCTGGTACCCGGACCCTGACCCAAGGTGGGCAAGGTCTTGAAGACAAATGGCAGGAAGCAAGTGGATCAATTAAAAGTTATAGAAACAAACTGTTAGACACAGAGGTAAGTGCCTGCAACCCCACTTAGGATCCGCGTTAGAGGTCACCGAAGTCAATGGTTTCGCAACAGGCAACCTAAGCTCTTAGACCTTCTCTTACTTCCAGGGCTCAAAAGCTTCAGATGGGAACCTATGCAACTGCTAGGAGTAGGGGAAACACCCACACACACCACAAGATGTGGAGACTAATGACAGAACCGAAACTGGACAAGAGGAGTCATTTCTAATTTTTAATTTAAGTTCTTTAAAGTCAAAAGGAAAGGGAAGAAGAATGAGCATTTGGCCTCGGAGTTAAGATACTGGTTGGGACACCTCCATCAGAGTGCCTGGCCCAAGTCCTGGTCTGCATCTGATTCCAGCTTCCTGCTAGTGTGCATCCTTGGAGGCTCAAGTACTCGGGTCTCCGCCACCCATCTAGGAGACCTGGATTGAGCTCCTGGCTCCTGACTTTGGCCTGGCTCAGCCTCAGGTATTGTGGATATCTGGGGGAGTCAAACAGTGGGTGAGAGCTGTCTCTCTCAAATAAATTATATTCTGTTTAAAAAACAGCTATCTTAAAAAGCAATAAAAAATAGCAACTGAGAATCCAGAGTAGGGAGTTCTGAACAGGATGGCGGCTGAGATGGAGAAACTAAATTCCACATAAGGTTGCAGTGTAGGTTAAGTTTCTTGCCTCTTGTATCAGAGCACCAGTTCAAATCCTAGCTGCTTTGCTTCCTACCCTGCTAATGTACCTGGGAAGGCAGCAGAAGGCAGCCCAGGTGCTCAACACCCTGCCACCCATGTGGGAGATCCATTGTGGCCATCTGGGGCCTAAACCAGCAGACAAAAGATCTCTGTCTCTCTCTGTGACTGTGCCTCGCAAAGAAATAAAACATTAGAAAAAGAAAAGAAAAGAAACTGGGGCTGGTGCTGTGGAGCAGCGGGTTAAAGCCCTGGCCTGAAGCGCCGGCATTCCATATGGGCGCCGGTTCTAGTCCCAGCTGCTCCACTTCCCATCCAGCTCTCTGCTGTGGCCTGGGAAAGCAGTGGAAGATGGTCCAGGTCCTTGGGCCCCTGCACCTGCATGGAGACCTGGAAAAAGCTCCTGGCTCCTGGCTTCAGATCGGCACAGCTCCGGCCATTGCGTCCATCTGGGGAGTGAACCAGCGGATGGAAGACCTCTGTCTCTACCTCTCTCTATAACTCTGTCTTTCAAATAAATAAAATAAATCTTAAAAAAAAAAAAAAAGAAAGAAAGAAAGAAAGAAAAGAAACTAACTGCCATGATGAAGAACAAAACCTAACTGCTGAGTGAGAAATCTATGTGTGTATGTTTAACATGCAGGCTGTAAGCAGCATTTTAAATAATGCAGAAAATGGAACCACAAAAACAAAAGACAGGCATACCCATCAGGATCTGCTCAGCAAACCAGGAAGCACAGTAGCTGTTTTAACAGAAAATAGTAATACAGTATCTGTGGTGTCCACAAGGGATCAGTTCCAGGGCCCCCTCAGCTACCAAAGCCCACAGATGCTCAAGTCCCTAGCATAAAATAGGGCAGTAGTATTTCCAAATAACCTATTCACATCCTCCTGCATGGCTTAAACCTTTTCTAGATTACTTGTTATACCTAAGACAAGGTAAATGCTATGTAAATAGTTCTTAGGCTGTAATACTAAGGGAATAATGACAAGGAAAAGAAAGAACTCTGCGTATGTTCAGTAGGGATCCAATTAGTTATTGCAAATATTTCCAATCTGGAGTTGGCTGGCCTTGTAGGCGTGGAACCTGCAGCCACAGAGGGCAACTGCGAGGAGGAACTGTTGGACTCCAATGAGGAAGCAGCTCCTGCCCCAGGGAGTGGGATGGGAGGCCCAAGGCAGGAGGTCTGACGACGTGAGAAAGATGAAACTGAACGAGGCCCACATATCCCAGGAGAGGGCCCTGGGCGTTGGTGGTGGCAGCTGAGGAACTTGGAAGATGGCCCCAAGGAGTGGAGGCCCGGATCTCTGAGGGGGCAGCACCTACCAGCCAGGTGCCGTACCCTCCTAGGGAAATAAAGACGCTGGTTCAGGCAGTACCCCACCCCCACTGTCCCTAATAAGCTGGAAACCAGAAGCAACCGCCATTTTCAGGACGAAGAGACCCAGCTGGGGTGATGCTGACAGGGACACAAAATGAACAGCAAGTGTTTTCCCCACCTCTCTTCCTTGTGCCCAGAGTCCTCTGGTGCCCCCTACCGGTGGAACCTCATAAGGAGCTGA